CCGTTCAAAAAAGTGGACGTAAAATCACTCACCCCAGTTGTCTCCCTTGTGCCCATCTTTTGGCGCGGAAAAGGTCATATGATCGGCCATGCTTGTCACTCTCTCCTTCTTCGCCCTCTCTCCTTCTTCGCCCTAGTGGACGGTTGTGAGAAGCGCCTGGGTCCCCTATATGAGGGGCATCGCAGGCTTACACACATAGATCTCCACCTAGAGATCAGGGACCAACGGCAACCCATCTTCGAACGAGACATCAAACCGGAAGATGATGGAGGAGGAGTCATCTTCTCCGACACAGAGATCAAATCATGGATGTATTAATGGTTCTGGAGCTTGCATCATCATCTAAAGAGAATAATGAAGCTAACACGTACATGATGTCTAACGACGATTTTGACACGCTAACGCTGCCACCCATAGATCCGGTACTGGATGTCCCAGACAACCTCAGCTCAGCCTTCAAGAAGGCAACGAAGTATCAGAGTCAGAGCATTCCACCGTTTAATGCCAAGAGATTTTCACTACATCATATGGAACCATTCATGAAGACCCCAGAAGTAGATGAAAACTATAAACTCATCAATGATGCTCGCATCAGGACTTATAAAGTGGAGGACAAAAAGCTAGCGCAACTAGACACAACCACTAGATGTACCTTCTTCGGTTTAGCCAGATCTAGGGCCATCAACGAAACCCTAATTGCGAAGTTTGCAAACTCTACATCTGAAGAAGAAGATTGGATGATCTCACTCAGCCTTACTGGGACCCAAAGGAAAGACCCCAACAGTTCATGTCAGAACACCTAGCATCTACATCGGCGGGATTAACACTGCCACGAAGACAAGGTCTACTATCATCTTGTAAAATGGAGTGAAAAGTTCAACAAACCACTATTCAGAGCTCCATGGGCAGCAACCGAATATCTTCGCAGGAGAAATTGAGGGCGTGGCTAAAGAAGTTACTGGCGTAGTCCAGAGAAGTTATGATGATCAAGTCCATCAATACACTGGCCAGCGTTATCAGACAGACATCACAGCGCGCTACTCTGGCAAATCTAAATTTGCAGGGATTCAGAGATCTAGAGACAAGAAATATGGCACTTCCAAGGGATATAAGGATTCTTTTCGTTCCCACCGAGCTCCTAGAGGTAACCCCGAAGAGGCAGAGGATTCAGAGGTGCCAGGAACTTTAGATGTTGATGGATAGGGTCGGAACGACTGAGTCTTCCACCCCCAGCCGTTTCCCATACAACCCCTCACCAGTGGGTGGACGCCTTCAACTTTGCACACTGAAAGAATTGGGGATTCTACAAGACGATTATGTATCCCAGATACTCACACAGAGGTTACAAGATAGAACTGCAAGCGGTTCCACCTTTAACAAGCACTCCTCAGATGTACAACTATGCAAACCGATCAGAAGGAGAAACTAATACTCGATGCCATTACAACTCTACTGGACAAGAAGGCAACCGAAGAAATAAAAATCGTCACACCAGGTTTCTACTCCCAATTTTTTCTGGTTCCAAAGAAAATTCCAAGGAAAAGTTCCGCTTTATTTACAACATGAAAAAGTTCAACCAGGATTTTCTAAGAAAGTCGAAAAGATTCAAAATGGCACATCTTCCACAACTCAGACAGAATATCCGTCCGTCAGATTATCTATCCAGCATAGATCTACAGAATGCGTATCTTCACATCCCAATACATCAGGACTCAAGGAAATACCTTACGATTCCTATTCAACGGACGTCACTACCAGTGGAGGGTACTCCCGTTTGGAATATCATCGGCCCCTGGTTGTTTACATCCGGAGGACAAAACCCATCGTCAGATACCCACAACATCAAGGTCTACGTGAAAGCGTTTTACCTAGACGATCGGGATTCAAGCTCATCAAGATCCCAATCTACTCAGACGGCAACTGACGTTTACGATCAAGTTACCTCACTCAGCTAGGATGGTTAGTAAATCATCAAATCGGCATTAGAGCCTACACAGGATCTACAATTCCTAGGAATACGAATCGTCACTTCAACGAATCGCCTATTAGTCCCGAGGACCGCTGGATCAAGATACAACAGATGATATCATTAAAACACTACTCTCTTCTGCTACTACTACGAGGGTAGAGTCTACTCGGTCTCCCTCACGTTGGCTGAACATATGATAATACGCGAGGCAGATAACTCTTTGCTTCACTACAAGTGTTTTGTGAACGATCATCAAGACAGTCTGGATCCATCTGTCCTACCGAACGAACTGAAACCATACTCTATTATGGTGGACACATAAGTCGAATGTCTGCGCAGGAACCAATTTAGCAGAGCCAGGTTCCAACACTCATCTCTACGTAGATGCGTCCCAAGGATGGGGAGCTCCACTTAAACAACAAAGTGGCATCGGGAAAGGGGTCGAATCAGGAGCAAAAGCTACACATCAACATGCTAGAGTTGAAAGCAGTCATAAACGCCTTACTACACTGGTCGAGCATACACAAGGAACGCTCAACTGATGATCCATACGGACAACCCACAGTGGCGTCTTCTACATCAACAAACAATGGTCAAGAAGGTCAAGGATCATGTTGGACCTCAGCTTTCAACTATTCAGAATAGTAGACAACCCTGAACATCGACATAAAGCGTCACACATTCCCGGAGCCAGAAATGTGATAGCAGACGCCCCATCCCGGTCCTATGAATCAGTCACCGATGGAGTGGATGTTACATCCAGAGGCATTCAAGGACATCATTCGGACAGTAGGATCCCCACTAGTAGATTTGTTCGCAAACCAAGTTCAACAAACAAATACCAACATTCGTCTCTCCGGTCCCAGATCCTCAAGCATAGTGGCAACGGACGCCTTGAGCATATCATGGGAAGGACTAAACGCTGCACGCAGTTCTCTCCACCAGCACTAATAACCGGCGGTATTACAGAAAATCAAAATGACAAGCAAGTTACAACTGATTTTGGTCCAACTTACTGGCCACTTAGAGAGTGGTTCCACAACCTCATACAAGAAATAGGAAATCCAATCCTACAACATCCAAAGTGGCCAAATCTACTGATTCATCCACACCAAGCAAGCACACAGAAACCAAACTATAGCCAACTACACGCATGGAGCGTATCACGACTCTGCTTTGAGGAAAGAGGATATTCCACCAGAGCGGCCAAAGCAGTAACTTTTAGCCTCACGAGATCAACCCGTAATTTGTATGATGACAAGTGGCAAAGTTTTGAGAAACACGCTCGGAAATAAAGGCTGCCACTGCAATGGGAAGCAACACATCCTCAAGTGGCGGAATATCTTTGTCATCTTAGATACAGATAAAACGATTGAAGCGATCTACACTCTTTACATACCTAGCGGCCTTGAGCTCTGGTTATCACGATGAAACAGGCATAACTGACAAAGTACCAGAGAATGCGACCACATGCTCATTCAAGTTGGTTAATCAACAAAGAAACTTGGCGTCTGGACCTCATAATGTGGTTCTACAACATCTACCAGTGAAGATTACTTAACCACCAGAAAGGACATCATATGGGAATTTAACTCATAAACACCGTTCGTAGCCTAGCTACAGCGGCAAAGGATGTCAGAAATTCATGCTCTAGACTTCGAACTAACAAGATTTGACACGCATCAGACACAGTGCATCTGGGACTAAGACGTGGATTTACAGCAAAGAATCAACTGCCCGGTCAACCAGACAGGCGCAATCTTTATTATATCCCAAAGCATCTCGACGATATTAGGACCACAGGACAGCAAGCATCGATCCTTGCGTCCAGTCAAAGCATTGGTGTACCATATCTACAGAGATCTAACTTGAGGAGACCGCACCAAGCGCCTTTTCATCCCTTTTTGCCTACGGAGACACCTACAGAAGTCTCACGTACAACCATATCAATATGGATGAGAGCCGTCATATTGTGCCTGGCAAAGCAGCAGGATCTCTGATCCTCCACGAGCCTCCAATTCATGAAGTCAGAGCACTGGCATCCACACTAGTTTCAGACGGAAACTGCTCCATATCAACAATACGGAGGGCTGCTTTGGAGATTGAGACGGTATTTACAACCACTATCTCAGAGACATGGCTATTGAAGAGGACGTCTCGGCATTAATTGAAGCTTGGGGCCCCTTTGCTTGTAGCACAACACGACGGTACCAAAGACGCTGGAGATTATCTCACTCTTTGTCACTGCGATTCTGTAAAGTCAACACTCAGCAGAGTTTGGTTTTAAACCATGCGCAAGTCTATGACAGACTAGCATCAGTGATGGATCCTGTACTGGCAAGGACTTACTTGTACACAAAGAACATTTCACTTGATGCCATCAAGAGATGTTGTATAAATCCACACGTCAGGAGATTTCAGGATAAATTGACAAGTTGTGGTCCCCACACCATCAGAGGAAGCTGGAAGAAAGCACAAATGCCATTAGAAGTTCCCAAGGGTATACGGACGTAAATCAGCAGAGAATCCAGAGTGGTTGACCCACCATCGCTTCCGTCGGATTCTACAGCATTGTTGATGAGTCAGGATAAGAATATATATGAATTTTCTGACCAAATTGATATTTTATACTTATCCTGACTCATGAGGTTACCTCCAACCTCCCCTCATGGCACTCTGGATTTCCCTGCAACCAAGTGTCGCCTGAACTAACGGAGAGTAACAAGCATGGCTGATCATGTGACCTGGGCACAAGTGGGAGACAACTGGGGTGAGTGATTTTATGTCCGACTGTTTTGAAGGAGTCAGTGCGATTCAAGTGTTCCACTATAGTTCGCAAGAAGAAGAAGATGCCAATTAAGCATGAGTCGGGATAATTATAAAATATCAATTTTTAGTCAAAAATACATTTTGACATAGCTATTGACTTACGGTCAGTTTTCCTTGTCTCGACTCTTGCACATGATATTTCGCTTGTATTTTGTCCGTAAATGCCTCAGATGATCCCATTCGGTGCCCGACGCATCAACATGAAGCTGCTATAAAACCTGAGAACAAGCCGAAGGAACGCTTCCTTGCTCTTATATGCATGTAAGTAAGTCAGCGGCATATTGCGTTTGGTTTTGAATATAACTACAATCATGATGCAAAGTCATCATGGAAAATAGCCCCTTTTTCTTCCTTATATATAGTAACATTATGCCTCAAATGGATGATCACAATATTTTATGTGGTATATGCTCTCGTGGAATCCTCGGTCACTGGGTAATGGCTCTCTAATACAAATGCTTTAGATGCAGAGAATGATGGTAGAAGAACGTGACATCTGTGAAAATGGTTCACGATGTCTATAGCAGTATTCAGACCAGTCCGAATAGAATTGTGAAATAATTATAGTTTATATTTAGGCCCATACCATGGACTACTTCACTCCAGCACCAACCATATCGTGACGAAAACGATTTATACAATAAAAATGAAAACATTTTTGAGAGTAAAACCTGTCGGATTATGACAGTAAAATACTAGAATATCACTACAGATATGAACATAAACTAGCATGTCAAACTAAAAAGAAGAGACAATACAATATAAAAAACGGGCTATAGAAGAAACGTTTCGAAAATTTATGAACCAATAGATTTGAGTATTGTTGATGCTGAGCTATCTGATCAGATGATGATTCGAGGGTTGTGCTGGCGGATGGAGAAGATTACATTAATGCCAATTATATCATGGTGAGTACGATAGGGGTAGGTATCTAAATGGATTTAACATAATGATGGAAATCACAGAATAATTCAAATATTTATCTCAATGTCCAATGTTAGTATGATGTTCTTTTTTTCTATACATCCGATAGTTCCACAATGAGGATGTGTGGCACATTAAACTCTACCTTTTCACAGGGATAAGATGACATCAAAGTACATAGCAACACAAGGTACGAACTATTTCATTCAAAGCAATACAACACCATTCACGAAGATTGTTATTTTTAAGCACAGGCATATCTGTGGGTCATGATTAACTTGTGTGTAGCAAGTTTGGTGAAACATGTATAGTTCTCGATGATATGTTGTACAGGTAACCATCAAACACATTTTTGCATTCAAGTCATGTTTCCATGGAAACAACAAGAAAACAAAATTTGAAAAAATTAAAATAGCAAAAGGCACATCATCGGGTAATGATTAACATGTGTGTGAAGTTTGGTGAACCTAGCATGTAAAGTTTAAGATATGCTCCGGACAAAACCATCAAAACACACATTTACACTAAGTCGCTTCCCTTGGAAACAGCAAAAAACTAAATTTGAAAAATTAAAAATAGCAAAAGGCACATCAATGGTAATGATTAAAGCATGTGTGAAGTTTGGTGAACCTAGCGTGTAAACTTTAAGGACAGAAGGGTATAAACATGTATGTTAACTCCATAGGATCTGATGTTATTCACCGATGCCAATGGCATATTATCTGATGTCAGAGTGAATGTATAGAGGTGATCACTTAATAGCTGAGTGGACAGCATTAGCTTTTCACTCCTGAGTGGACTTCAAGTCCAGGGAACGTTCTGGCATCAAATCATTCGTGCATGAAGATCCACGGACACAACGTCGGTAAAAACATGATCAGAGATGTGAGATTCAAAGGTTTCGAGGATGCAAAGACGACAACATTATTCAACTAAGCAAATGATCAGCTTCAAATATTCTGAAAGAATAGTTTCCAACGAGTGATATTCATATGTTCAGTGCTGGAGTTGGCCTAACAGGAGCGTTCTTGCCCTGACCACCTGGATGGATGAAGCGAGAGCGCAAATCACGTCAACGTGTTCATGTGTATCAGCAAGATGAGACAGAACAGGATGAACATGGTCCAGACCGTGGTGAGTTACTGTGTAGAGTATATTATGTCCCATCTAAACATACTCGGTTTTACGAGATCACTTTAAGATGGGAGCTTTTAACTTAAAGACTATTATTGAAGGCAAACAAACATCCCAACAATGTATATCTTCCTTCCAACAGCTTTACACATCTATGGTTTTGACATGTTTTTTAACAGAAATCTTTAAACATTGGTGTCTGCAACCTGATGAATTAACGGTGGCCAGTATTTAAGCATAGTATTTCCATTTATGCCTTCAGTATAAGTTGTTATAATATGTATGTTCCATCAAGAAAACAGTACGAATTTCAGGCACATGTCCGGAGGCTC